ATCAAAATGAGTTACATTTACTAAGGTGTTAATGTGATTATTCTCAAGCATTTAGACCTCACAATTAAGGGAAAAAAACATTAAAATAAAAATTCCTTTTAATTTAAAAGAAGAGCGCAGATTTTCTAAACCGATAATTTATAAAATAATTATAAGCTATAATTTTTTTTAAAAATAAAATTTTATCTTAATCATTGATCATTATTCAAACGGTCTAAAAATGTTGTGTTTAAAATTTGCTACGGTCGAATAACGCTCAGCTGGTGGAAAATGAAACTGAAATCATCGAAGCAGAAAACGAAAATTTAATTGTTAGAATTTTCTCGTTTAAATTTGCCATTGCAGTCGCATTGACTGTTATCGAAAAAATTAATGCTCATATCAAATTATTTCCCTTTTAAAAATTTTAAACGCATCTCACAGCAAGAGATTTCAGCATTTATAATTATTACCAGTAAAAGTAATAGTACTATTTATAAGTGGTGTACAGTATACGAATAATAAAAAAGATTATTTTACAAGAGAATAAAGAGGTGAACGAGACCGTCGAGTAGACGACAAATCCAAATGGTCGAATTTTATTGAACTGGTGAAGAAGCGCGTGTCTGTACAAGTTGGCGGCCGTCCCGGATGTAGGTCATCGAGCCGGATGCGTTTATATTGTAGTTGTACGTGTACGACTGTCCAGACGTTTGGGCGGCCACTCGTCTCACAGCCAGTCATTGTTCGTCGGCGACTTTACGTTGCGGTTATCTTCACTCCCACTATTTCCACTAAACAATTTGGTAGTAATAAAAAAAAAGTCGCCCCGACCGCCATAAAAAAACGAACAAATGTTTATACCCGGTAGAGCCTTGAACTTACTGTCGCAAACAAGAAATGAACTGTGTTGCCACATGCCATCGCTTCAAGGCTATGGGTACACATGCTGATTATACCCCTACAATGGGTGAAGTAAGCATTTTGATGATTTACATAATCAAAAAATAATGGTTTTACGTCTAACAGAAATAATTCATCTTAACCATAATGTTCTTGTGGCATGATATGATTGCCCTTCCTGGACCAGAACTATCCACATATTATGCAGTTGATATTTACAAAATATATCTTTAGAGAGTTTTTTTTTTGGTAATTCATTTCTTTTTTTTGGAGATTTGTAATCAAAAATCATTTTTCTAGTATACTTACCACAGTAAAAATAAATGAGTCATCAAAAAAAGTTAAATATGCCTCTGTTTTGTAGGCTTTGAATAATACAAAATGAAAAAATAATGTGACTACAAAAAATAATAGAACCTAAAGCATTAAAATTGTCGTCTCGTGTCATTTTTAATATAATATTAAAGAAAATTTTGTACAAATATTAATTTAATAAAAATATTAATATTAAATATTAATTTCTAAATAAAAAGAAAAATAGCTAAAAAAATAATAATAATTTTACAAAGACTTATATTTAGTTTAAAATTACATTTATAGGTAGGAAAATATAAAATTGTACTGTTTAGGGCGAATTACATTTAATCATTCATAATTTTAGTACATCAAATTATTTTTGTAAAAGAGTTATTTACTTTTTTTAATTTTCTATCTCAGGTAATGGCTTTCTTGCCCCTCCTGAAATACTTGATGGAGATAGATGGAATAGTTTTCATAGTTATTAGACTATTTCAAATGACACTATGGATTGATAAGATATAAAAATGGAGGATATATCATAAAAAAAATTATTCAATCTCAAAAATAACGATCAGTTTGTATGTCAAACCTTAATTAATGTTAAATATTCCCGTATCATACAATAAAGTTCTAGAAATAAACGTTTTTTTCTAGAGCCATTTTTTATAAATAGTGCATATTGTTTTTAGTATTTACTTTTTGAGTTTTTAAAGCTCAAAATGATGGACGTAGATGATGTCGGACATCGTTTCAAGTGGAAATTTAGGATAAGGGTGGCCGCCCCAAGTAATAGGGTTTAAAGCGATGAAAAATAATTTAAAGACATTTTGAGTTCTAAGAAGAAATTGAAGGGGCGATTTTTGAATTTGAAGAGCATGAGCTAGCTCGGCTAGTCGGTAAAAATTAATAAATGATTTATTGTTTAATATTAATTTAATATGATATTTTTTTAAAAGTATAGTCACTGTAATTATTACTTTTTAATAAATCTATAGCTTTTTTTTCTTGAGAAATAATTATAAGTAGAAAAAGCTATGTTAAACTCTGAGGATCATGTATTCATATGCAATAAGTTTGTGGTATTACGGCAAACTTATTGCATATCTTTATCCAAAATTATAGAATAAAGTACAAAAAAATCATTATTTTATCCACGATTAACTGTAATACCTAGGAAATATTTGCATTTATAAATATTGTTTGAGTCATTTTGAAGGGTCCCAAGTTTGTGTAACTTTATGATAAGATTACATAGTAACGTGAAAATAGTTTTCGTTTTAGTTGAAATAAACTTACCAAAGTTATAATCTCGGTAAGAACCCATTACTAAATTTTCAAATCAATTAATAAAAATTTGATAGTGTGTTCAGAATATCTTTAAAAAAATTATAAATGCATGCAATCCTTAACCTTAGCAATATTCATTAGACCCACATCTTAAAGTCCATTATAATATCTATTTTACATTTTAATATCCCTAGAAATCAGCCTCACTGTCTCCATAATCCAGGTTTAGTCATACATTAAAGATAATATTTTAAATCCTATTGAAATTTATTTTTTGGGGAATGCTAACTTTAACTATTATTATTTTTTAATAACGACCTTAGAGTTATGAGGTTCTTCAAGCTCAATTAAATATTGTACTTATGTAGATAAGTAATTATTTAAATGTCCGCATTACTCTCTCGTTGCAATTAATTCACTATCACGTTGGTTTACATGCGAATAATATCACCGTACTATGAAAAAACATTTGGTTTTATAAAATTTCACCAAAATCTTGTTTTATCGTCAACATAAATATTAATTTTATGGCGCGTTATTATGCAAAAATGTCTCGCATTATACACAGACGGACGTATTAGATCCCATGAAAACAAATGTGTGACCTGTTTAAGGGTTCTATTTAATAGACGCTTCTCATTAAGCGTCTCATCGAGCTTCTCTGGAAGTATACATTACAATTGAATTATAATTTTAATGCTACTTTTATTGTAATAAACATCAAGCACTTTCTCTCAATGTGACTGTGAATCGCCAAAAAATCTGCGTTCACCTACATTATCGTATCATAATATCTCTTGTTATTCATATCCCATTTCCCACAGTGGTTGTACTCTGCATATCATAGTCACCTCTCGCGGTGGTCATTACAATGGTGACCTTTAGAAAAGAATAAAAATTCAGATACCAATATCCGTACTACTTTTAGTGCGTGGGTTCGTCACGTTGGCGAACTTTCGTTATTTCTCCCCGTCAAATATTATTTTAAACAACGTTCCCCCATCGATCAAAGGTCACTACCATCCAATGGTCATTGCACATGTAGTGGTGCGGGCGTCCGTATCTGGCTGACCTTGATTGCGGCAGCGTGTGTAATAATATTACTATTGTACGTATTATTATAATACACAATTGTATACAGGTATTGTGTTGGTCGCCACACGCATGTAGGTTAATGCCTGAGACTCAGCCAAAGCAGCAGCCGCCGTAGTACCTATAGCAGCCAGTGGAATCGTGAAGTATGTACATGTGTAGTCGGCAAGTCAACCGCCGCCGCCACACTTGGCCTACATAACGAGACCACGTATCTCCCGTGTAGTGAACTCGTAGTAGGGGAAGTCATACGTACACACGTGGGACGCAGCCCCCGCACTGCCTTAAGCAAACGTGACGAGCATGCTAGCAAATCGAATATTCAACGTGTCTTCCCTCTTAACCGGTAATTCGGTTTCATTTAAGTTACTTTTCTCCCTAAAAATACAAATCGCGGATCTGACGTGAAAAGATTTTATCTCGGTTTATTACACAAATAATAATACTCGAGTAACATCCAGCCAAATATTTTTTTCTCAAGCCTTATTCAATGTATTACTATTTCTATGTAAAAACAAATTTCCGTTTACAAATATTTAAGTCTGATAAGACTTTTACATATACATGCTTAACTAGTAACTTGTTTCTAGAAATCACTACCGATTGAATCAATTAAATAAAATTGACTTAATAAAGAATACAAAATGTATATTAATATACTTTCATAAAGTATAATATCCATGAATTTGTTAATCAGTAAGAGTATTGAGAGTACTCCTAATAATTAATTGGGTGGCGTAAAAAATAGTTAATTAAGAAATGTTTTCATGGAATTGTAGTAATATATCCACTAATTATAAGTTCAATTAAATATTTTAAGGTGTTTAATGATCTGAACTTTTATATTGTAACGCACGTATCAAATAATTATTATGAAGAGAATCCAATATATATATAATTTATTTCAATTAATATTTTATCCTATAGGATTATTCTGTAAATTATAATTGTATTTATATATTACACAAAATTATAATTTAGTCAATGACTCATTACGATTACAAATAATTGTTAACTTTTAATGCGATCTAAAAATATTAAAATTTTTGTTGCTTTTAAGTGGTGGAAATGATTTAAGATGTGATTACCTTTCGATGAGTTTACTTGTTCGAGGTGGAAATTATGTTGGTATTCTTTCAGCGCATTAGCCGTGACAAAAAATTGTTTATAAAGTATACGATGGCATGGAAAACTGTGACAAAGAAATAATTTTGCTTTCTCTTTCACGCAGCATCCTGCTACCATGGATTTTCATGCTCTACTTATCCAATACAAGAAACAATGGTATGCCAAGTCCGTCAATCGTCGCGGTTGTTCTACAATTTTCTTTGAGTATCTATTTTGTTAACACTGTAAACTTAAATGTAATGTATAAGAGGAGGTACCAATTACACATCGCTATCGGATGTATATTGGTATGAGTAACCTTAAGAGCGGTGTATAAAAATTAGTTTGTTTATTTTTTCATTAAACAATAAAAATTGGAATAACAATAATTATATATTATAATAAGTAACAGTAATAATGTTGTTAGAAAAGAAACACTCGAATAAATATATGTTGCGAGAGATTCAAAATCACTTGGACGAATATTTAGAAAACTATGAAATACAACAATAAATAATATGTGTACAATTTAAGTACGGTAACAACTGCCTGCGTGGAATGTTTTTCAACGGAATGTGTGTGTTTGTATATAGTAAAATACAAAATAAGTCAGGAAAAAACTTAAAGGACCAGTTTTAAGTCCTTTTGTTTCGTTTGTGCATTTTGAATGGCATACAGTATTAACCAAACGGTTCAACTGTAATATTTGTCCACCTCTTCCACTAATTTTTCAATGTTCACCTCGTTGATTTCGATAAATTTTTTACTCTGTCTACTGAAATAGTAAATGTCCCCGGTATATATGTCGAACCATAGGGCATGAATGTGTAGGTCATAGGTCTCTAGTCGTTTTTTAAGGAACCCGTAGCTGGCGATGTTTTGTAATTGTTGCAAAGTATTCACCTAAATAAAGTCATAGTAATTTTTGTTTATTATGGATTTCAAATAGCCATCATGTAAATCACGAGGCTATTAGAAACTAAATTATTATTCAATGCTTGTTGGATAAAAAGTTATCAAATAACTTTTGAAACGCAAATATCAATATTTTTAAAATGGACCAACATATTATAAATAATTTAAAAACCTGAATGGGAATGTTTTTTACATTATCGACTTACCTGTGACAATTTGTCAGTGATGGAAAACTTGTTCTCGGGATCAATGTAGGCGATAATTTTCCGCAAAGGTGTTTCGGCTTGGAACACTAGTGGCGTATCAAATCCTGATGTTTCTAATTGTTGAAATTTCTCCAAAGAAGAAATGGCATGTGTGCAAAGCCATGCTCGTAATGGCGATAGACGGCGATTGTCAATACTGGCGAATTCGGTATCTCTGAGTAAGTGCAATAAGTTCATAGCCTGATATAATAATATTATTGTTATTAATATTATGATTATGTACATTATTATTAGGGTGCCTGAGTAGCAATATGATAAATCTGCGTGTTATTGTATATACCGTGAAATTAGGGTTGTAGTATTCGTCTAGAATACAAATTGTTTATAAGGGGTGCGGTCCTCAAAGATTTTTTATAATGGTGGTTACTCTCATTCCGATAGACCATAAAACCAAACTCGATTTTGATTAGTTAAGGGTCGTTTTAAAGATTAGTCACTGTCGATCCAACCAAAATGGACGAACAGTAGCAGTATACCATTCACCAAATAAACATGGATATAACTAACAAATACATAAGTTTATAAAATGTTCAATAATTTAAAATGATATATTGGTCACAAACATCGTATTTTTCTTAATAGAACAAGTATAATTTTATGAATAATATCATTTGAATTATTTTTATTTCATTTATAAAGGAAAAATATTACGTTTAAAATGAACTTAGTATTATATCTTTCATACGTTCTAAAATAATAATTTATTACATAATATATAATAAATTAAAATAAATACAAATTATGAACGAGAACAATATTTTTTAATTATAATTTTTTCTAATTTAAATTTTTTAAATAAATTTAAAGTTTGTGAATGCTAATATTTATTAAAAAATTATAATTATGTACTTTGCAATCAGAATGCCCGCAAACAATAACATGCCTTATATCGTTATGAACACATCCAAGTTCCAGTGCAGCTGGTTCGCAGGTGGTGTATTCATCAAGGAAATGTTGCGAATGAGGAATCAAATTTCCAGCATTTCTTACTAAAAATATCATTAATATTCAACCAAAAATTCAGGAATCGAACAATAAAAATTAGTTTACAGTTCTCGTTAAGACTTAATATTCTTTTTAATCGAGAATTTGCATTATATTTGTATCATAAACTATTTTTTACGTGGTTCTATATATTGCTTTCTTATTGGATAGTTCGTATAATCCTGACTTTTATTTGTTCAATTGTTTTTTAATTGAGATGATGTAAGCATATATGTGACACTACACCATTAATATTGGGAAAGATTGCTTTTTTAATACGTTACTTAGATTAAATGGGCTGTTAAAAAATGGTTATGGAGCTGCTAAGAATCCAACCAATAAGTGAACTATACAATTTTTTAGCTTTTCTTAAAAATCTTAATGGGTTGATAACAATTTTAGTATAAGTAGTACTCATTTAGTTATAAACATTTTAATGCATAGAATAGGCATGGAACATGGACGGAGTATACGTACACCAATACGAGCTGAACCTGTAGCTGACTACATATTCACTCTATATATTAAATTGCTTATAATTCAACAATTATTATCGACCCATACATTTTTTTTAGAAAAAGGTTAAAAAATGGCTATTTTGAAAATTTGGAAAAAATTAATTTTTTTCTTATTAATAATAAAAAATAAAAAATGTACTTTAATCGTGTTCAAGAAGACAATAATTATTTTTAAAAAAAATTTAACAAAATTATAATTATATCAAAAGTAATAAACGTTGTTCGATTTGATACAATAAAGGTACAGAGAAAAGTACAACAAAGGTACGGAGAAAACACTATAATAATCTATTATTTTCGATTTTGATTTCATGGTTTGATTCAGTAGCTTATAAGCTTTATTTTATTGGCATATAATCACTATATTAAAGCCATAAAACTAATTAAAATGTAAATAATTTCAAAGAAATTAATATAAGAGAAGCAATATAAATGTTTAAAAATAAGAACAATTTCATTTATTGGGATCTTGGTCCACTGAAAATTTTTTTATTAAACTTGGGTAAACTGGCAAAATGTGTTAATACTACTTAGTCTTAAAGTCACTAGAGATATATAAGGGAGTTTTTCCGGTTGGGGTGTCAGTATGTGTTTAGCGTTAATTATGTTAACATTGTTTCCAAAATACGTATCCGCTTATTTTTTTAAATATAGTATATAAATTATTATAATATATGTGTACCGTGTACATATATAAATATTATACATTAATATTTAATATACAATATTATATTAGTTAATAATAAAAATTGCTTGTCCGGATGTTTGGACTAACAAGGACCGGATTAGCACTAGGACTCTATAGAATCTATTTTTGTTTTAGCATTAAAAATATAGGATTTTTTATTTTTATTTTTACTGTCCTGAGAAATATACAGGTATAAACTATTACAGTTTTTCTCTTGTACCCTTTAATTGTATACTTATTTTGTACATTTCCCATTGCAAAAATAAAAAAAATTTCTTATATCCTAATTATCTGTTAATAATTTCCAAAAGATTTGCTTAAACTTAACGCCTGAATTTTCAAAAGTGTACTTACCAACAAACATATCACCGACATTAGTTTCAGTGAATCTCGCTGGCAACATTCGACTATCCATACATGTAAAAAAAACTGCTTTAGGCTAAAAAATTAAAAAAAAAAAACATTCTAAAATAATAATTTCCAAATACACAGACAACGTATCTGCATAAACCATGTAATATACAAATAAATAGTTAAATTTGTTCAAAAATACTTTATAAATGTATATTGTGGAACTAGCACTATTTTACTCATATTAAATAGTACTTTAATTTCATTCTTAAGTTTATGAATTTTGATTTTTTTTAAACATCGAAATTTTTATTTAAATTTTTTTATTGTGTTGTATTTTAATATCAAAATTTGAAGGTCAAAATAAAAATTTTTTTTCTTTTCAAAAACTTTTAGTTGTGTACTTTTAACCCATATCATATTTATAATTTTTTTTGTATCGTTTTACGGTCTTGAATACACATGGTTTTGCTGAAAATAGCCAACTTTATCATCTCATTACACAAAAGTGACTAAACGAATTTTTTCATATTTACATAGTACCTATGTAGTACCTACCTTTATGCAATTAAAATTTCTGGTGAAAATTTGATGATGGAGAAATAATTTTAACATCACTTATAGAATTTGAAAAATTTACAATTTACGTATTATAGAAAATCCACAAACTACATAAATTTCAACATTTTATTTTTATTTTTTGTATTTTTTCTGCGTTCTGTACTAGATTAAGTTATTGGGTCTGATAACTTTGTAATTGATTATAATTAGGTATGATGTAAACAGAAATACAACGTTTATTTATATATAATATATATATATAGAATTAAATTACATTGTAGACTAAATTATAACGAAATGTATAATAAGTTATATATGAATAGGTTAATTGTTAAGAAAAATTATTTGATCTAATTGAATGATCAACAATCTGAAGATGAAAAAGATATTTGAGCGTATGATTTATTTAAAAAATTCTTAATTTGTCAAAACATAGTCGAAGAATCAACAATATCTATTGATGTACTTAACTTTATAAAGAAAAATAATGGAGCTTTTCCGAACTTCGTCATTGCTCCTAGGATTTTGTTATCAGTCCCAATAACAATCTAGTACAGAACGCAAAAAAAAAATAAAAATAAAATTTTGAAAATTACGTAGTTTGTGGATTTTCTATAATACGTAAATTGTAAATTTTGTAAATTCTATAAGTGATGTTAAAATTATTTCTCCATCATCAAATTTTCACCAGAATTTTAATTGCATAAAGGTAAGTACTATGTCAATTTGAAAAAATTCGTTTAGTCACTTTTGTGTAATAAGATGATAAAGTTAGCTATTATGAGCAAACCTAGTGAAGTTATAGGCTCTAGATTATAAGTTGTTTTTTCATGTTTTTAATTATAAAAATTGAGCTATCTGGTAAAAAAAAAAAAAAAACCTAGCACAGTGGTGATGTGGCATAGTTGGGTCAAGTATAATGATATCTAACAGTGATTAAAATCACTATTATGAAAAACGCTTCGATCAAATCTGTAGATAGTGTTTAATTTTAAAAAATTGATGGATTATTCTAAAAGCGATATGATCTCCTATTTTCTTATTTATATCCTGATTACAAGTTTTTGGTTTATAAATGTAATATAAATTTATATACATATATATATTTATAATGTATAAATATATAAAGGGGAATGGTTTTATTTAAAAAATAAGTGTGTCGAATGAAAGAAGTATATAAATAGTATTTATTATAAAAATATTGTATTGATCCATATATTTTTCAAAAAGTTATAGCATTATAAAATTAAAAATATAAAATCGACAATTATTCACATAAAAATAGTATTTGGTAACAATTTTCACTGTGAAGACAAAAAAAGTCCGAAATTTTTTTTTCTATAATAAAGTATATTACATAAGCTTTAATTTAAGATATACATAAAATTGTCAGACTTTCCAAAACACTTTCAAAAGTTAAGTTGAAAAAGTTCTATAAAAAAAAAAAATTTTTAATTTGTTATTTTGTTGGAGATTTCTCCCATTTACGAGGAACGAGGGAGATTTTTTCAATTTTTAAGGGCCATATCTTCTACTAGATACGATTTGCGATCTTTTGACGTATCGTTGAAAGAAATAAGTTTGGTGAGAGCTAAGAAAAAGTGGTAACAGACACAAAAAAAAAAACGCATCAAAAAAACTAATACCTTAACAGCTTCGCATAGAATCTAAAATCAAGAATTTTGATAAATGATATGTGGATATTTACTATATTAATATAAGTGCAAATTTGTTGAAAATTACGATTAGTTATATCTTGTTTATATACTATGCCTACTAAGCTGACGATGTATGTGCGGATGACATTGGCGATAGATGGGTCGTTGAATAAAATAAGTTAAGTTATAAATAATATAAATAAGACGAAAGTAATAGTATTGAAAACTATGTCTATAACGACCACTCAAACACAACTGCCTTTTGTTAATTCGACGTCAATAGCTCCGGCCTACAAACGAGTAGAATTATCACATCAGCATCTCCCCTATGCTAATTAATATGTATTACCAATTAAGTAAATGGAAATAAAACGTGTGTAATATAACTGGTAAGAACATAGTAATAAATGTTCTTACAGCATCAATTAATCTTTTTCAAAATCTGATATAGTTAAGTCTAGTGATAAGGTTGTTTAACAGAATAAAAAAATTCGGACAACATTTAAATGTACCATGCACAATCCAATTGTTAAATTTTACAATAAAGTAAAAAATTATTTATTATGTTGTTGTTAGTGGTCAGACCTTTACATTTAATATCTAAACATTTCCAATACTAAGAGTCTTTAAAAATTTAATCTTCTTGATAAGTATAACCATTATACATTAATAGTAGTTTATATTTATTTGATTTATAAAATTCCATAACAAAAAAAAAATTGAAAACTTCACACTACAAATACTAAATACTCGAATTTCACAACTTAAGTATTTAATGTTCACAGTGTGTAACATAAAACGATCAAGATAAGATTACAATGCATATATGTATGTATAAACATGTATAATAATAATCTTTTTACAATTATATTTCCCAAAAAATCCGACATATTTTTACTTTTGCTGTTATTCTGTTTTGCTTTCTTTTTGACGTTATTAATATATAGTATTGTCACCTTTTTTATAGTTAGTTTGAACTTGTTAAACATGTATGTTGCTATTAAAAAAAATTATAATTGGTACACTTATAAGGGAAAAGGGATGGACCTAAAAAAATATTACTTATTAATCAAAATTTAAATTTTACAGTTAACAAAATCAATACATTTTTATACGAAATTATTATTACTTTAGGAAAAAATTAGTGGTCAGCCATATATTACATCGTTTATAGTTTAGTATAGGCTTGTAAATTTTTTTTTTAAATTATTAATTCAACTCTACTTTAAATTAAATTTGTTGATGACTTACTGATTTCTGTCGATATATTTACTGAGAAAGGCAGTTAATTTCTGACATTTTTCGATTAGTAAAAATATTATTCTAATGATTTATTTTATATTTTGTTGAATAAGTTTGTGTTTATAATTTGCCCTAGGTGCAGTTACAAGGGGGATATGAAAGTAATGGCCCACAAAAATGTCATCTGATCCTCGCTTGATTTGCCTAATGTCTTAAAAGTCGTAGTGCTATCAATGATAATAAGTATTTCGTTAAACAAGTTTCCATAATATATATATTTTTTTAAAAAAATATATATATATTTAATGAGTTAATGAGAAGATATTTTTAGTAAATATTGTATTATTTAGGTGGTCACACTGTGTTTTTGATAACAAGACATGTTTTTGTTTTGATAAATTGATAATATTATGATAACCATTTGTTCATATTGCAAAATCAAACTTTAAGCATAGGATTCAGAGCTATTAATGAACGAAGACAAACTAACAAGGTAAACTTATTGATGTATACGTTAATTCAAAAAGAGAAGTAATGATTTTTACTTTTCACTTACTTCTGGTTTGTTTTTTACTTGGACAAATTGTTCAACCATTCGGTTCCGAGTCGTGTCTCTATATTTCATTATACCCCGGAATATCCGATCCATGACAGTGTTAGCTTTTGTGCCGCGCGCGACCGGCCCTACTATTTTGATCGCACACTACCGTCACTGTTGTTTAAATGGCTTCTACTGCTCAGCTGTTAGTAGTGATCGACCTTAAATTAAATTCAAGGGCGTTCGCCTAGCGAGTAGTTGGTTTATTATATTTTATTACTTTTCCCCCTCGGCCCTTATAAACGTACATTTAAACTTACTTTTAGATATATAGTTGCATAATGTTATTTTTATCATTAATTATTAATGAAGTATTACTTTTATCGCTGTCCTACGGTCATGCCCTCTCGTAAAATATACCATTTGAGTTACAGTTATTGTCAATAATGTAAATAATCATGATAAAATATTTTACGTTAAAAATTGACAATCTTATACTTCAAAATTCTAGGTAGATACTTAGACTAAAAACATTGCCTTGATAGTTAGTGAATTTCTTTTATATTTTATAAAATTAAAAACTAAAATTGGCATTATTTTTTAAAATAAATATGAAACTTCTACTTACTTAAAAAAAACTTAAATTCAAATTGTGTACCTATATAATATATAACTACACATATCCTATATTATGATTAATATAAAATTAATTTATAACATTAATGATATAAATTTTTTCAAATTTTATGAAGTATAGTCTCAACTATGTTTAGACAATCTTTGGGCTGAGATGATTATATAAAATGAATCTAAATTAGATAATGTAAAAATCGACATTTATTTTAAAATTTATAATGTCAATAAAACACATAAATTTAACTAATAAATTACCACTTTCAGTTTACGAAATTTTATGACTTTTTTTGTTCTTTAAAAAAAAATTAACTTTTTAGTTATCAAATAAAGTTATTTTAATTCCCTTAAGATTTAGGCTGAATGTTTGCCAACGGTCGACTACTTTCAAACAGAGATGTAGATATATAAATAACGTATAACGTAATATCCACCCTATTATTTTTAATATAATTGATTAATGTTAAAAAATGTTGTTATGGGAAGAGTTAAACCCCTTAATCTATTCTCTTCCATACATTCCAACCATTAATTATGTAAATTAAAAGATAATTTGTGAATTTCAATAGTTGTGATTGAAATTATCTATTTTTCTCTGACAGTCATTTAGAATTTCGTTGTGTAAGAAAAAATGACCTTTGCTTCCAGGTAAAATATTATAAATAGTATAAGTTATATTTTTCAAATATAACGACATATAAAATGGCTGACAAGCGCTGTTGTGGGTCTGCATTGTTCAGTAGTGCAAACACTACCTAAAAAAATCCTCTCCTCCAAAAAAAAAATTTTGTTTGCACTACCGGATTCATTTGCTAAGCGAAAGATAATCTATTTATAATTTCAGATATCTTTGGTGATGGTCTCTAACTACCTGTCTTAGATTATTCGTGTTCAAAAATCCTTCCATTTTTCTCTTGATTGATAGTAAAAAGTTAAAATATTTTAAAAATAAGTATGTCAATTTTTTAGAAATGTACTACTATAATATATAAATTTTAGTTAACTATCGTATCGTTTGACTGTTTAATAAGATAACTAATTTATTTTATAAATTTGATTTTAACTATTATTTTAATAACATAAAATTGCAGAATAATATATTTTGAAAGATTTCAAATTTAGAATAAAATTTAAAGCTATATAAAATAAAATATTGCGAATATTTTTTAGTTTGTGAAAACAATAGTCATCGTCTAATTTACATATTGCGTTGAGCTGCTTATAATTCGTATATTAAGAAAAAGGGTTTTGTCGTATTACATAATTTTTTTCTCTTACTTTTATTTTCAATTTGTATCGAAGTATTAATTATTTTTAGATAGTCGATTATCGACGAGATATATATATATATCAATTACAAAATTCATTTTCAACATTGATGACTGGTAGGTGTGGTCTCCTAACAGAACTTTTTAATTTAGTGATGAATTTTTTAAATTTCGTATTCAAAATTGTAATCTGCAAGGTTAATAAGGACACGCAGTAGCGTATTTAAAAATTTTGTAAGGAAAGTATAATAGGAGAGCAAATAGCTTTTAAAACCAAGTAATTGGAAACTTCACCCTTCGATTACCACTGTGTATGATTTTATACCCTGTGGGGAGTGTGGACATATTGAAGTCTCTGTAAATACGCTACTGAATGAGGAAAACATACCCTAAAAAAAGATCTTCAACCAGGGTAGTAAGCCTTTATGTTGAAATATCATTTTAATTTTAAGAGAGTCTTATATAGAATTAGTAACAATCTTAATTATTTGTATACATTATCTTTGCATTAGTTAAGTTTATTCCTTCAAAATAACTTCTATACTAAACTTTTAAAAGCTATTCTTTAGTGTTTATGCTTGTATTTTATAGAACATATGTTTTTTATATGGTCAGTTAATTTAGAAGATAGATTTTTTACATAACATCACTATTGATTTAAGTAATTGAAATTACAGATATCAATATGGAACAAAATATAGATGATATACATCAAAACTTGTTGAAATTTGGATGTTGTAATGTATGCGCCTCTAGACATTTAACCAAGCCATCAGCAGTGGATGTTAACAAATTGATTGCAGCATCATCTCAAGATCATGAGGAATCAAAACGCCTTAAAAATAATCCATGCATTGCATGCTTAGGTTTATTTCAGAATCCTCAAAAAGATGAAATCATCAATGAAATTATTTCCTATTTAAAATCAGCTAATTATGACTCAGATACATTTAATATAGCATTCAATTTACCAATGTGTACAATAATAAGAAGTCATTCTATATCTTTATATGTATCAAAAGTGAGAGTATCAGTTAATCCAACGATCCCAACAGTTTATGTTTGCCTGAAAGATGCTTGGAAACTCATGGCTGAAGATGCTATTGTAAAATCCACAGGAAAACATTTTAGCGTACATTCACCCTTATTAATAACTGTGTCTTTTCATTATGAATATGATAAAGAAGAATGTGATCAATTAAATACATTAGTAAAATTAAGTAATAAAAATCTTCAAGATATTTTATCACAAATGAATAATAAAGATTTTGAAAGTCAATATGGTGACTTACCTTCTATACCAATGTCAACTATTTCCTTTAAAAATATATCTTCTAGACATGACAGTGTATATATTGCTGGGCGATATAATAAATGGTCTAGAACACTTTCTCAAACTCCTTGGATAGTGGATCAAGAAAGACGCCTAGAAAGTTCTGTAGAAGAAATAATATTAGAGCCAATAAAAAATTATACATTAGTTGATAGTTTCAGATTTTCTTCATCTGGTAGAGAAGATATTGATGTGAGGATGTTAGGAAAAGGTAGACCATTTACTATAGAACTAGTAAATCCAAAAAAAACCAAGTTTAGCTATGAAACATTTAGAGAAATTGAAAATGATATAAATAAAAATTCACAAGTGACAGTCAAACACTTGCAAAGTGTTTTAAAAGGTGACCTTAAAGAGTTAAAATTAGGCGAAGAATTTAAAATAAAAGTTTACCAAGCATTTTGTTATGTCAAAGGTGAACTGCTAGACTTGAATAAACTTAATAACTGTACACCATTTGATATAGTTCAAAATACTCCTATTAGAGTATTACATAGAAGAGCTAATATGGCCAGAAAAAGAACTATACACTCTTTAAGTGTTAGTCCAATAGAAGTTAATGTTAAAAATGGTTGTTTATTTTTTAATGTTATTCTTTCTACTCAAGCTGGAACATATATTAAAGAATTTGTCCATGGAGATTTTGGCCGTACAACACCTTGTCTTAGGACAATTTTACAAAATAATACAGTTGATATATTAGCATTAGATGTTTTAAATATTGAATTAGATTGGCCACCCCCAGTTAATTATTAAATTAATTTAATAGTTTATTTTTATTTTTCATAATTTTATTAAAACAAAAGATTTTGAAAAAAATGTTATGAACTATTTCTTTATTGACTCATCAACATAAATTACATTTGTAATATACAATGTATGAAATATCTTTCATTAAATAAAATATATTTTGAACTATTACAAACTTATTTTGAAATAGCATAATCATTTTGTTTTCACTGAAATTAATTGACAGCTTAGAATTAAATTTTTAATACAAAAAAGTTCTTAAAATTATAATGAAATGTAAATGCTTCTAATAAATTTCATGAAAAGCATTATGATTTTAGAACTATCACAAAATAAAATACTAATCTAATATGAGTGTAGTTTACATGACAGCTATGGGAGTTCTGGCATAGTAATCTTTAAAGATAAATTTTAAAATTTACATACACAATTAGATTACATATTTTGGTAAAATTAAATAAATTTAATTTTAAAATTTTAAGTAAAATATATATTAAGTACATAAATAGATAATTGAAACAGAAAATAGTTAGTAGAGATTTTATGTTTTAAACTACTGATACATTCATTTTCATGATAACTTAAAGTAGAAATATTATAAATTAAAATTACAAATAAATAAAAATAACAAAAATATCACAACCAAAATACTCACATTAATATTTTAAAAAAATAATAATAAATAAATAACAACTGAAATGTTTTTTTTTTAATTAAAAGTAAAAGATATTTAAATATAATAAATATTTACCTACTATAAATTATTTTTCTAATTTAATTTTATTATAATTATTAACTAACTTTCTTAGCAGTACTCTTGGGTACTCTAAAAGTTATACTTCTATCAAGGAAGTTAAAAAAAATTGCATGTTTTTTAGATATTACACATACATGCACATGTTATGCAAATATTAAAAACAGTAAATTAAAATTTATTATGATCAATATTGCAGTCATAAATTCAACAGAAATAATTTATAGCAGAACTTAGAATATGTATATATTTCAATTAAAAATAAATTTTAAAATATGGTAACTAAAGATTCAACAATTATAAATAAAACAATGTATTAAATGAAAATGTAAAAAAAAATATTTTACTTAATGACTAATTCATAATTAATGTATGAATTTAGTTTTCTGGTTATTAAAAAGGAGAATTTTATCATTATTTTATTAGTTGGATTTAAAAGAAATTTTCTACAATTAATATGAAAACAATTTTTTATAGCACTTATATTGTTTGAGCTATACAGGTTTTTTCATCCTCTCTGGTACTAACAATAACTTTTAGAGAAGATGTAAAACATAATTTAAAAAAAAAAAATGATAATAATAATAATAATAAATTACCTGTACTCTATAACTTGAGCTTATCCTATAGATATAAATAAATAAATAAAAATTAATAATAAAACTTAATGTTTAATTTTATTGGCTTTAAAATAAATTTATATTATTATTTCAAAAAAAAAAAAATTAATGATAAGTTAAAACTCAATGTTTTGAAATAAGTGATTAGTCAGCATTATTTTATAGTATACTTTTATTATGATAGTAGGATTTAATAAAATTGAAATTTGGAATGAAAAAATTTAATTACAAAAAATATTAAAAAAAGTGTTAAAAAGGTAACTACAATCTAAAAACATCAAAGTGATTTTGTTGATACGAGTTGGAATTATTTGGAAAATCATTTTTTATATGATACTACTACACTTTAAATAAAAATAAAATAGTTACCCTAACTTCATAGATTCTAGTTACTCATAATAGTAAAACCTAAAATTTTCATTCAAAATATATACTAGTGTCATATTAGTAACTGTTTTGTTACATTTAATAGTTTAAATATTTACTAAAATTAATCTAATTATTAGAGAGATATGAATCATTTGTATATCTACGAAGACTTTTGAGGTTGTCTTTTGGACTTTGCATATTAGAATCAAAGCTTATTGCTTGTAAATAATGAGATTCTGCTAATTCATATTTTTTCCATCGATGATATAAAACACCTGGTATTAATAATAATAAAAAAAATATAAATAAACCAAGGAATAAATAGTTATATATCATTATAATAAGTTTTTATATTATACCTAAATTTGCATGATATAATGCCATTAACTTAGTATCATTTGTATTTTGTTTTAGCTGAATTGCTGTTAGGAAATGTTTTTCAGATTCTGAAAATTTATTTAATTTTCCAAGTGTATTAGCCATATTGAAATGTAAACTAGGTTCATTAGGCATAATTGATAAGGCTTTTTGAGCAACATTTTCAGCTCGTTTGAGTTCACCAATTGTATCTAACATAACAATCATATTACTCCATGCTATTACATGAGTAGGTTGTTGAAATGTAGCATTTTGCCATGCAAGTAATGCTTTAGTATTTTTCCCTTGTTCCAAATACTAAAAAAAAATTTATTTTAATGATTGATATTTAAATTGAAAAAAATTATTATTTTATAATAAGTGTTATACAAGGTTTCCTAAGTTATAGTAACAATGTGGATATCTACGGCGGTGACTTAATGCTCTAATATAAGCAGATTCAGCTTCATCATATTTTTTCAAGCCAGATAATACAATTCCCAAATTCATCCAAGCAGCTGCAAAATTATGCCTATAAACACAAAAATTTATATGTATTTAAAATTTAGGTAATAGTAAATTTAAGAGCGTATCATGAGAAGGAGGATAGTGATCAACTCTCAATTACTAAAAGAATAACGTATTCATATAAAAATTGGAGAGGATAGTAAACAATTCAAATTTTAAATATAACCGCTCTCTTAAGTACACCACTATGTAAGTTATTTTGATGAATGTATTCAATTGTTTAAAAATGTATTCAATGTTTATCACAAATACTAAATGTTTTCAATTTAAGATTATAATCTGAACCTATGGTTCAAAATAATAAAATATGTGAATCAAATTACCTGATACTAACAGCTTTTTCTAATAAAGTTTTAGCTTCCTCAAGATTGTTTTGATCTTTTAGAATATTTGCTAAATTATTCATAGCTTGATCATACTCTGGATGAAGTCTGAGAAAATGTAGAACTAAATTCATAAAATTTCTAACAAATATTTAAAATCAATTTTCTAGTAATTACTTTAAAGCGTATCTATATCTATTTATAGCTTCTATTGTATTTCCAGAATCAGCTAAGTTTTTTGCTAGATTATAATGTACTTTGGCATTCATTGGGCAAACTTTTAAGGCACTTTGAAATAAAATAAATTCAGTGTTCCATTCTTCACTTCTTTGGTAAGTTCTTATGGATTGTATAATAAGCATAACAATTACACATGTACCTATTATCTAATATTCCATAAAAACAGTATGGATCAATTGTATTTCATATATAGGATTTTTTCCCCATAATCTAATAAATATTTTTTATACTTACTTCTTTCATCAAGTGTTCCTTACATAGTTTTCTAATGCCCAACACCACTAATAATATAAATCCCGCAGATGGTAAATACAAAACTCGTTCAGCAATCACAAAACCGACTTTAAAAAATAAATTGGAAGCTGGCAAAAATGTTAAAACTCCTAATAGAAATCCTATTTGGATTTGTCTGCAATAAAAAAGTAATCATATTATGACTTCTACATCAGCTAAACAAAAAATTAGCTATTTAAATTTCACTGGTAATGGACTAAATTAGAATATTCATGAATAAAAAGTCTCATCACATTAGAAAATATTGCACTGAATAAAATAATAGGTTGCTTATGACAAAATAAGAAAATAATGATTGCTAGACAATTACATAGAATTCCCACACCCTACATAGGAGGAAATAAAAGTACAAGTACAGAGACTAAAAAATCACAAATCCCCAGGGGAGAAGAGGCTATACAATGGATCTGGCAAGTAATTAGCAGAGTATGGACAACAGATAAACTTCCAGATGATTAGAAAGTGGCAGTGGTATGTCCAATCCACAAAAAAGGTGATAAGCAAGATTGAAACAACTATCGTTGAATATCTTTGCTAAATGTGGCATATAAAATATTTTCTTGAATTATGTGTTAGAGAGGATTAAAAAAAAAACAGATCAAATAATAGGCGGGTACTACAAAAGAGGGTTCAGAGCTGGTAGATCTATGATGGATCACATGTTCATAATTAGACAATTGTATCAAAAAATATGGGAGTTTGATAAAAAAAAAGTGCACAGTTTTCGTGGACTTTAAAAAAGCGTATGACAGTATTTACAAAGAAAGTTAACTAAATATTATGAAAAAATTTCAAGTAGGAAATTCAATATCTGGCCCGGTTACAGTAAAATCGGGACTAAGACATGGCGTTTTGTTGTTGCCGATTCTGTTCAACGTGGTTTTAGAGAAGATAATTAGAGAAATGATAATTAAACCCAATGAAGGTATTAGACAACAGGATAGGATATGCCAATGACATAGTATTGATGGAAGAATCTCAAGGTAGATTAAAGATATTCTTCAGTAGACTATATAAAATAGCATCAAAAGTGGGGCTATATGTAAACAAAGAAAAAACTGAGTGTATGATTTTGAGTAAACGAGGACTACCGTTCTATTAGTCCATAAAAATAGATCACTATGAATTTAAAAGGGTAGAACAATTCAAATACCTCTGTACTATCTTAACTGAAAAATACTAAGATATTAATTTTACGAGCAATATCGCAAAGAACAAAAGAACAATTATATACATCCCTGATATGATCAGTTATATTATATGGATCAGAAACATGGCCACTTAGGAAATTGAACGAAAATAGATTCATTGTCTTAGTAAGAAAAGTGTTGTGGAGAATTTATGGCCCAGTCAAGGACAAAATAACTAGGGAGTGAAGATAAAGAAAGGATATAGAGCTGGAAACATTATATAGTTCGAATATATTAAAGGTTATCAGAAGAAGACTATGGTGGGCTGTTCATGCTTGAAGGAACCAAAATCCGGCACTACTTGCAGTGATTGAAAAAAATCCTGTAGGTAAAAGACCTTTGGGAAGACCAAGAATGTGCTGAGAAGATGTTATAAAAAAGGATGTTGGACAGATGGGAGGTGGTTCCAATTAGAAAAATTTAGCGTTGGACAGAGAAGGATGGAAGCTTGGTTGTGAGACGGAATGGCCTTAAAGACCCAATAAACCCAAGAAGAAGACAATTACATAAGTATAAATTCTAAATGATATGCATACTAAAATATAATTTTCTTTAGTTTTAATTTTATTAGACGACTCCAATTACTTGACTTAAGAATAATTAAGTCATAAGTTCATATTCTTACTTTACTTCATTACTTACTCGGTTAAAATCTCCACTTTTTATACATAGTAACTTTATGATCTTTTACTTAAAAAAAAAAAAAAACCATTTTATCTTTAATAATTATACCTATAATAGTAGTCCCTGGAAAATATGAGTTTGTATGAGATCAAAATAATTATGGCCCAAAATAAAAAAACTAAAAATAATCTAGGATCTTGAGGAAATTTATTTAACTTTATCAATGGTATGCAACCCATTGACCAATCAAAACACAGCCAAATTGGGCATAACATTATCCATATGTTAATTATATAAATATAACTGTAGTTGATTATCTATAAAAAGTTATGTCATTGTTAAAAAATAAATAAATAAATAAGAAAAAATTGTAAAGACTTACTCTTTCAACAGGAGATTTTAAAAATGATGCAGGATTATCATTATGTTGAAAAATAGGCGGAGAGCCCATTATATACCATCTTACATAGAGTATAGATAGATGTCCAATTGCTAAAATTATTAATCTCTCATACGTTTCTTTTTTAATAATTCCATTGATTTTGTAAGCTGTATTTTTAATTATGGCTTGATAAGTAATTTTGTTCACTACAAATAAGTCATATACTCCACAAACAGTCTTAAAACAACAATGAATACATTAGATTGAATAAAATTATGAGAATTATTTATAAAAATGTATTTAAATAGTATACCATAGCCATAACTCCTTGTTCTTTACATAACATAGCTATAAAACTTAATATACAACAAAATATTGTTGTTAGAAAATTTGTTTTTGTGCTGATATGCTTAGCACTACATATCTGGTAATAAATAATAAATACAATTAAAAACATACATGCACTTAGTAAATCAGCTCGCCCAACAACGCTTGAAACCTAGGAAATATGATTGTAATAATACTTAAAATGGACAAAAAAAATTGTATAACATACTACTTCAACATGGACAGGATGTACAGCAAACATTATAGAAGCTAATAATGAAGTTTTGGCACCTTTATTGTCAAATAATAAGTTATACACATGTAACAAAAGACATGATACAATAGCATGTAAAACAATGTTGGTTGTGTGAAATGATTTAGGAGAGAGTTCTCCATTATTTAACCAAACATTAAATCTAAAAATAAAGTGAAATGTTAAATAGTTAAAATTAAAAAATAATTATTTAATTCAAAATACCGAAATGATAATATTGTAAGAGGTCTGTAGGATTTATGACTAGCATTATTTCGAATTCGTGTACCCCAAAAGTCATGACTAAATATTTTAAAAATGGGTGTTGATAAGTTGACATCATAATTGTTTACAACTGCTTCAGTGTCATCAAATACAAATGTTCCTTTATAAGAAGTACTATAACATATGATAGATATTATTGCTACACTTAAAATGGATGCCCAATTTGGAAGTACTGTAAAAATGTTTTCATTTAAATTTTAGTGTTAAAAGATGATGAATTAATGTAAAATTTAACCTGGGAAAGGTAGTAAGGAATCACAATAATCACTTTTCTTAATTTTCATGCTGTTATAACTTAGTTGCCTTAAAATTTATAACAATAAAAACATATTTTTAATAAAATAAGATGCGACAAAATATTTTTTATTAAATCTATTTAATTATCATTTAATATTAATCAATTCATTTTTAACATTAAAAATTATGTACACAATAATAATTTCAGTTCTAAAATGTATTTTTAATTACTTAATTAAATTTTTTAACATGATTCATGTAATAGCCACATATCCGGCAAATTGATATCTCTTATCAATTTCAAATATATCCTATTGATCAACAAATATTTAGCGTTACTATAGCAGCGCCTTGAAAACTGACAGTTAGATTAGATTATATCGAACTTTATATTTTAAAATAAACAGAGGTTTTGGTAAATATACGGCATATATGTACTTAGATAAAATAATGCATATGCACTGTATAAAAAAAGTAGTATATAATATATATACAATTATTTAATACAAAAGACACAGGATTAAGTAAATAGAAGCGTCTAGTGTGTTATGCGATAAAAGAATTCTAAAGAGGCTAAAAGGTAAATTCTATAAGACTGTAATGAGACCAGCTATGTTGTATGGTTCAGAGTGTTGAACACACAAGGAAATATAGCAGAGATGAGAATGCTTAAATGGATGAGTAGTGACTAGAGAAGATAGGATCTGTAGCGTCAATCGTAGATAAGATGAGAGAAAATAGACTAACATGGTTTGGTCATGTTATGAGAAAAGAGGAATCGGAAGCTGTAAGAACAGTTATATAAAATGAATATTGTAGGAAGAAGAGGTAGAGAAACACCAAAAGAGGCAATTGAATGCGAATGAGTACGTGTGATATGGGTGATCGTGTCAAGTGGAAGTTTAGAATAAGGGTGACCGAACACAAGTAGTTGGGATTAAGGCGAGGAAAAAGAAAGTTTTTATTAATCATTAAATACGGATATAATCTATACACGATTTCATTTCTTAATACTGTACTTTGCTTATACACTTAATACACTTTGCTTATGGGTTCAAGTTCGATAAAAATATAATATAAATTTTGGTAGTGTCCTAAGCTCTCGCGTACCCACAACTCATTCAATCCCTATTTTAATTTGAAAAAAAAATGTTTTGTTGTAATACCAATTTCTGGTTTATTTATTGATGTTTTTATACAAAAGCAGTAATATTTAATCCTCTTTGTTGGTAGGTAAAGGTTCAAATTTTCAAAAATAAACCTAATGAAAGAAACGTACCTATGATATTTATATATAAAAAAAATTGTTTTAATTAATCATTTTTCAAAATTAAGGCTGTATTAAGTAAAAAGTTTAAAAAAATTCAGAATTTACATTTTTAAAAAATCATAGTAGGTCCAATAAGAGCTGAGAAAAATGAGAGATAGACACAAAATAAAAAAAAAGACATCATTGTAAAATTAATATCTTTTTAGTTTCGCATTGAAGCTAAAAAAAAATAAAAAAGTAAGTTGTACCTCAGTGAACAAGTGCACAGACTTCTTTAAATTTAATTAAACTAAGTAGATTTTTTTCCTTATTTTACAATTTCTCTACTAAATTACTTAATACTGGACAAAAAATTAAAAATGAATTTAAGCTTATAAAATTAATAAAATAATTATTCTATTTAATAATATACATAAATTAAAAATTTCAATTACAAATAAAAATAGGATTTTGTTGTACAATAAAAATTAAATTAAATGTCAGCCACAAAATTAGGATGAACAACTAGAACTGGATCGTCTTCTTCTTCTTCTTGTTCTGCATCACCAGTTTCAGTTCGTTTGAACTGAGAAAGGGCAATTAATACATTGTCCTATTGAATATGAAAAAGAAAGTTTATATGAAATGTAATTATTTATTTTAACTAAATACTTAATACTACTATTTACATTGTAAATCAAACGATCCAAAATTTTTTCAATGAAACTTTTCTTTTCAACTAATTCAGATTCATCATTGATTTGATCTTCAATTTTTTCTAAATACCAACTTACAATTTCACTTCTTAGTAAACCACTATCTTCACTTTCACCTTTTTCTACAAAAGTGAATTATTATTAAATACAAATTAAAAAAAAAGAAAAATGACATCCGAATGATTTTTTAACAAACCTGCAATTCTTTTTTCTTCTTCACTTCTCATATAAACAACCAACATGTTTGTTATTCGTTTATATTCTTCAAAAGCTAAAGTAAATTTTTTCTTAGATAAAGATCTCTTTTCGTTTCCTTCAGGTTGATCAACATCCATACCTAACAAAAAAAAAAATTTATAAACATAACTATATACTTAAAAAATATAGAAAAATTAACCATTAGATTCAGTTAATCCATTCATTTCTTCATCATCTTCCAAATTAACATCTGGTTGTTCAACTCTTATAATAGATTTATTTAACAAACTGAATGCTTCAGAAACATGCTTTGGTGTTACCTAAAATTAAATGTATTATAAATTATTTAAATATTGTTTATTTAACTTTAAAATATTACTATTTAACATTTTTAGTTGTGTCTCAGTCATTTTATTAAGTATTGATTTAACAGTTAAATTTAGTCTACATTCTAGATTTCATTCAAATATTTTATGCTGATTAAAAATTCTATAGTTTGACTTTTTTTAGTAAATACCTATTATTAATATTATTATAAACAACTATTATAATTTTTAGTATTTTTATGTATTTAACATTTCTAACAAATATTTCAACCAATATTGAATACTTTCATTGTAGTATTGAGGAAACAAAAAAGAAAACAGTAGCTCTGTGTGAACGTGGCATAGTTGGGACAAGTATAGATGATATTTGATAGTGATTAAAATCATTATCATAAGAAACGCTTCAATTCAAATCTATAAATAGTGTTTAATTTTAAGAAATTGGTGGATTCCATAAGCAAAATAAACTCTTATTTTTTGTTCAACTTCGACTGCTGTTTGCACATAGAAGATAAGACGTTGACACAAACTTTATTTTGTAAATTTTAGCATGTAGCATAAGCTTTAATTTAATTTATATTTAAAAGACGCAGTATTTCCAGAATATTTTCAAAAATTAAGTTGAAAACATTGAATTTTGTGAAAATGTTTCTATTTTGAATCCTCTCCTATGAGTATTTTTCAAAAGAAAAAGCAGTTTTAGGAAAAAAAAATGTCAAAATTTACAGATTTTAAAAATTTAAATTTTTTGGGGATTATCACCATTTACAGGGAACGAAAGAAATTTTTAAGAGCGATGTCTTCAACTGGATACAAATTGTAATTTTTTAACATATTGTTGAAAGAAATCAGTTTGGCGAGAGCTAAGAAAAAGTGGTGACAGACATAAAAAAAAAATACATTACAGTAAAATTAATATCTTCTTAGCTTCAAATCAATACTGAAAATTATAATTCTAGTTAACTTACATGATCTGAACATTCCATTTTAGCCATAGCTTCAGACAATCTAATAAGTGATTCTAACTGTCGAACAGTAATTCGCCAAGTTGATTTGGTACTTGACTGACTATCACGTTGTCTAAGTTGAGTATATGCAGCTACCAACTTTTCAGAAGCTTCCTTTAAACAATTGTTTTTTATATCAAAGATCATTAGTTATTTTAGACATGTTTTTACTTACTACTGTAAGCTGAGGTTTGAATTGACGAGCAAATCCAATGTATGTTAAAATATCTTCTTGGCTATATACTGTTTCAGTTGCATCTTCCATATTACTATGTATTTCTACTATTTTTTTAGCTATGGCATAATCAACAACCTATTAGTTACAAAAATAATTTTTATTTGATGCTAAATAGGAAAAATAAATAAATAGTTCATTACTTCACTACATTCATCGATGAGAACATAAAATAAATCAAATCGTGACATAATTGGTGCTGATAAAGTAACATTTTGCTGTAATGATTTACTTCTTTCATAACGTCCATTTATGGGATTTGCAGCAGCTAATATTGATGTTCTAGCATTTAATGTTGCTCTGACACCAGCCTTAAAATATTATCTTTCAGATATATATCACAAATAGTGTTATATTAAATAATTTTAATACTTTAGCAATAGATATAGTTTGCTGTTCCATAGCCTCGTGAATTGCTACTTGATCTCGTGGATCCATTTTATCAAACTCATCAATACAACATACACCATTATCAGCCAACATAAGAGCTCCAGCTTCAATTACAAAATCAAATGATTCTTCATCTCTAACTACAGCTGCTGTTAGACCAGCAGCACTAGAAGCTTTTCCTGATGTATAAACAGCTCTAGGACACATGTCTGCTACTTGTTTTAGTAGTTGAGACTTTGCAGTACTTGGATCACCAACAATACAACAATTAATATCACCACGAAGTGTTGTCCCTTCTAAAGTAGTTTTGGGCACACCTCCAAAAAGCATCAACAAAACACCTGAAATAATTAAATTAAAATATTTTTTAATACTTCATTAGCCATGTGACGTTTTTTTAAAACTTAAAATTTATCATATTTTGCAGTCAATTATACTAATAAGTAAAGGTATTCAAATCTAAACACAGTAACTATCATTATTTTATAAAATTACTCTTATATTTTATTTGGTATAAAAAATTGCTACATTTTTCTGTAATTATGATACATTAAAAAAAAAATATATTACATAGTAATAACCGAACAAAATTACAAAATTTATTCTTCTGTAAAATTTTAAAAATACAGATACAGATAAATTTAGAGAATCAAGTGTTTTAGTAATAAAACATTAATTTTCTTCTAAATTGTGGTTTTAAACTTAAATATATCTTATTTTTACAAAATTTTCCTTTGATTAAAAAAAGAAAACATGTTTAATTAAACATAACACTATTTTGGATATTTTAAAGATAAAAAGTCAAACCTTTTTTTAATAAAAATTAATAAAAGTACAATTATGAATAATGAAAAATCAGTTATTTCTCCTGAAAAAGTAAAAAATAAAAAGTAATAATCTTAAGGTATTGAAAATATAGATATTTTTGAAACTGAAATGGATTAATATTTAGAGGTTAAGTTTTTAACTTTTAAAATTTAATCTAGATTGTAGATTGTATGATCATGCCATAGTATGACATGATACTAAATATATAAACACAGTAATTAGAATCTTGCCTTTTTTGATTTGGTCATTTCCATGAATTGATGGAAATAGACTATTAATTAAATTATGATACAGATTTCTATCACGGTTCATCTCATAAATTTTTTCCCATTGAGGTCCTGTCATTTGCCTTTTCATACGCTCAATTGAATCTGTAGTCAACTCATCATTATTCACTTCAGCATTACCACCAAACTATTAATATACATGTTTTAGGAATTCTTATAATATAATTAATTCAAATGGCAATAATTAGTTATTTCTTACTCTTGTATCTGTAGCAGATAAACTGCAAGCTAAAAATGCTAATTTATAATTTAAATCCCTAATGCCCAAACATTTTAATCCTTTGACACCTTCGTTAGCATCAGCTTTTTTTTGACCAGAAGCAGATTCTGCTCTAGCTGAAGGTGTTGACATAACACTTACATCTGGAACAACTATTAAAGTACCAGTGAAATCATATCTATCACCAGCTTGCACAGTTTCAACATTTTCATTTCTTAATATAATTTCAAGACTGAAATCAAAATAAAGATATCATATTGATTTATATTAGGTCTGACTGAAAACCACAATATTACATATACAGAGTGATTGGTTAATTATATCTTACATAATATCTTTAAAAATACAAGTGTTATTAACAATTTTTTTTTAATCATTATGGATCTTTGATGAGGTGTTTCACAAAAAATTTAAAGTTCTACCACCATCCCTTATGCTCAAAACTTAAAACAACTTTATATTTTCAAATGGCAACCCTATTTTTTATTACACCATTAGATTTAATTTAATAAAATAAAAATATTTTATTTAATTTAACATTAAGCGCTCCATAGCCCTTTAAAGTTTGTGGTTTATTAAGAAAAAATCATAACACACTCGAACATTATAGATCGTAAATTAATAAGCGCTACCAGTTTTAAGTAATAGACTACCTGCGTTGTCAAAGTAAATCGGTAGCTCTTATCACTACATAAAATAATGTGACAGTGCTAGAAAAACTACTGCATTTTTTTTTCAAATATCGTAAATTTTAAAGTAGCGTATCTTATTAAAAATTCATTATTTTTATTTTGATAAAAATTTTTTTTTTTATAACAAACAAAAATATATAAAAATAATATGGTGTTGCCATTTAAAAATCTGAAGTTGATACAAGTTCTAAGATGATGATAGAAATTTAATTTTTCTTGTGAAACAGCTTATCAAAGATCCATAATGATTAAAAAAATTTGTTTATAACAATTGTATTTTTAAAAATATTATGTAAGACACGGTTAGTCTATCACTCTGTACTGCAAAAGACAAAACTATATGAAACCTAATTACTTATTCTGACTTAGTTTTGACAATTTAGATTTTCAATTTAAAAAGTATCCTAAATTAGTAAAAATTAAACAACAGTAATCAAGAATTTCTCGAAATACTCAAGATATACTATATATTAATGAAAAAATAATACACTTATAGAAATTTGATTATTATATTCATTCATATTGGGTTTTTCAATCAATTCTCCTATATAAGTTAAAACTAATATACTAGTGTATATATTTATAAACCTACATACTAGTGAATAAATTTAATTTGCACATAATATTTTATTGCATACTTTAAATCTTATAAAATATAATAAAATGAAGTTACCTGCGAGGAATACTTCCACGTGGAAGTTCTGATTGGCATTCTTGTACACGAATTTTTTGAAAATCAACAAAACGTGATTTGTTAACATTTAAGCTAAATCTTTTTCTGTTAGCACAGACAGGGTTACGGCAAATTGTTGGTTGAGTATACTGAAATTAAACAAAATTAAGATCAACATAAATATTAAAGAGTTAGATAATAATAAATAACAAAATTGACTCTATAAAAAAAAATATACTTTGAATAGTTTTAAAATAAAATATAATAGAACAAAGAATTAACATGGTCAAACTTACTTTAAATTGTTGTTCTACATTTGGGATATCTGTTTGACAATCAAGACAAGAAAAATATCCTGACACAAGCTCAGGATGAACTGGATGAGTTCTAATAACTTGACCAGATATACGAACTAATTCACCAATTCTAGAAGTTGTTAATTCTCGTACATTAAACCTAGTAGTAACATCAACAAAGCTAACAAAATAATCTTGATGGTTACCATTTGCTTCAGTTCGATCAATAACAAAATTTCCAACTGCTAAACATAATGCTGGATAAACCCTAACAAAATAGAATCAAATTTATACACAGGTTAAAATGATTATATTATAGTCATACCGATAGTATTCTTCTAAAATAGTGATGGCAAGATTTTGATTGAACTTTTCAACATCAAGAAAACTGACTTCTAAAGTAAAACGTTCAGCATTTGTCATTTCTACAGCTGCTTCTAAATATTTAGGCTCACTACCCCCATCTTCAATAAATCTATAATGAAATATTTAGCTCATAACTCTATATTTTTATACAGTTAACTTTAAAGACATTTATTATTACTTACTCTTCTAGAAAATCTTGAAATAATTTCTGTGATCTTACTTTCAACTGGTCTCTCACTCTATTAACTCCAGTCTGAGTTTCAGCTACATCCATCGTTAATAACAAACAAAAACTAACTACTATTTATTAAATATGTAAATATATTATTTATTTATGACTTTATATAATAAATTTAATAACTAAATTATTAAATTTACAAAATTTATTAATAAATAACATAAAAAAATCAGCCTAATGTGCATAGACACAAGGACCACATTTATGATATAAATCGTTGTGTTGTGTGTAAATAAATAAATGGCGGGAAAAAATGAATGAATGATATTAAATATTAGCAGGCTCACCAACATGTAATATTATCAATTTAAGGACTTATCTTTTACTTAATCACTTTTCTATGGGTCTAGGTGTAACAACCAAAACAACAGAAAATTCCAATTTAACAATGTTAAATTATTTAAACGTAGTAAAAATCTACCAAATAACACTATTAATAACATGTGATTATGAAAAAAATGCCTCTTCTTTAACTGGAGATATAATTGGTAAACTTTCTGGGAAACCCAAGATAATCCCAACTTTTCTGATTTATTCCAAGCTTAAGATAATGATGATAATCTAGAAATTTTATTTTTGAATAATAGTACACACATGGAACGGATTNGTACACACATGGAACTAGGAACAGATACACATGGAACAGCAAGTCTACTCCGTTCCATATCTTAGAGACAAAATTGAAATGAGAAATCATAAAAATTATAACATCTCCACTTCTAAAACTAATTACTACTAATTGTTTCGCACCTTTTATACTAATTGTTTCACACCTTTTATGCTAATTGCTACTAATTATTTCACACCCCCAATACTAATTGCTACTAATTGTTTCACACCTCTAAAACTAATTGCTACTAATTGTTTCACACCTTTTATACTAATTGGTACTAATTATTTCACACCTTTTATACTAATTGGTACTAATTGTTTCACACTTATTATACTAATTGTTTCACACCTTTTATACTAATTGGTACTAATTGTTTCACACCTTTTATACTAATTGCTACTAATTGTTTCACACCTATTGTACTAATTATTTTATATATTTTATAGTAATGAATATACATTACATATATGTTTTCCTTGACGTTTGTTAGTGCAATGAAAATTACAGAAATTACTATAATTGCTACTTATTCTCAAACTTATAATATTTAATCAATTTTAAAAATTATAGTTACTTTTCAAAAACACTAAGTTTTCTACTCCAAATGGGTATATATTTTTTGTAAAAATATAATATATAAATTAGTATAAATACATAAAAATCATAAATTTTCAACGAAATGTCTGATTTTTTAGGTTTTTGCATATTTTTGTAATATCTATATAGCGTTTTATGACTTTATTTAACTTTTTTATTTTTGTTCATTTAAAAACATTTTTTAATGCTATCTTATCATATTCTCCTTTCAAACATTATATTTTAAATGAAAAATATGTCCCTTTTATTATGTTTATAACAATAAGAACAATAATTTTAGTTTTATTAGTTTAGTAGAAAGTGTCATTTTATTAGATTTTCATTAGTTTTTCCGATATCAATACAATGGGGTAACTTAATAATTAGTTATGGAAATATTACTTTCAAAATACTCTTTAATAATTGAGCGAATCTAATGTTTTCTATACACAATGTAAGTGGTAAGTCTTATACCACATAGGTAATAAAATGTTATAGAAACCATCGTATAAATAACCATATAATTTCATTTAATATCTCACTTTGTTCATATAACTATAACGCTATAGGACGCATTTAACAATTTGTTCATCATATTACACAATGTCAAAAAAAAATAAAATAAAGCATATTTGCCGTGACTTTATTTTAATAAATCTAGTTGTGTTTTTGTATTTATTTTGTAATATAAAAATAAAGGTAAGTTATTCTACTATTTATTTAATATTTTATAGGCATCTTTTCGATGAGTTTGACGAATTTCTTTTGGTAAACTATTTACTGACATATATTTTTTTATTGTTTAACTAATTTATATAGGCTCAATCACCATTTCTACATAAAACCACATTTGCACATACCAATGAAGATTATATCAGAAGATGTGCATTAAAAATAGTGTGTAATCCAAATTCTAAGTATAGAACTATAAATGGATCGTGTAATAATTTAAAAATTACTTCATGGGGCGCAATTAATACTCCACACTTGAGAATTCTCGATCCACAATATGATTATGGTAAAATTTTGTTATTTATGATAAATGTTTCATGTATTTTTAATAAGAATTATGATTAATTGAATTAATATTAATTGAACTCTTAGGAATTTACAAATTTCGTAAGCAAATGACAGGAAAACCTATACCTGTAGCAAGAACACTTCAATTGGAACTATTTCTGGAAAATCAATTGTACTATAATTCTAAAGCAAGTGTCCTACTGATGCAATGGGGACAATTCATAGCTCATGACATCACTCTCCTTAGGCCTGATTCTATTGGTAAAATAATGTCTAATGCAATGTGCTTTCGATATTTCAAAGAAAAATACATAGAAACATAATAACATTGAAAACATTCATTGTAGACATGTTTTGCCAAATAACATAAAATTTAATCATTTTTTTATTTTGCTCGTAAATTTTTTTTCAAAAATTAATCAAGAGTGTTGGTGGGAGGGGTATATCCCGAATAGTCAATAGATAATAGGGACTCATCCTGAATAAACTCTTCTTTGTTCTTTATTTTATATTTATTTTTAGTTTTTCTTCTGAAAATAACTGTCCCTGAAGACTTAACTAAATCTAACACTGATTAAATTATCAACATTTTTGAGTATAATATTTTTGTGATAGTAAAAAAAGGTTTTTGCATTGAGTAATTAAACAATGATTTATAAATTATTTAATGTCCTATTAAATTAAGTTCGTAATAATCCAAAATTTATTGTTATTTATTCTCTACTTCCCAAATAATTATAACTATGGAGAAAGATTTATTGTAATTGGTTTTTTACATTGTAGAAGACTGTTGTTCAAATAAAAATTTGTCAAATATTACCTCACAGTGTTTTGAAACTATTAAAATACTTAAAAACGATCCTATATATTCAAACCTGAAAAGAACATGTTTATCTTTTAACCGTGCTGTTACAATGACTAATTTTAGTTGTTCTTTAATTCCAGTTACGTTTGTAAGGTTTAAGATAATTATAAAACATAAAATATTGATTATATTTTAAGTATTTCTATTTATAGGCAGTTGAAGTAACACATTTTATTGATGCATCTCCAGTTTATGGTTCTACTGAAATCATAGCATCTAGTTTAAGGTCGTTTACAGGAGGAAAATTGAAATCAAGTTGGCGAGCAAATGGTAAAAATAAAAACGAAGAATTTTGCCCACAACGGAGAAGAATCACAATGCAATGTGATATGTCACCATATTCTAAAGTTTTTTATGATGCAGGTTAGAAATTATACTTCTTATAACAAATTTACTTGAAATATTTTACAGGTGAGAATAGGGGTTAGTTTTAGTTTTAGTTATTATCGAGGTGAACATAATGCCCATGCACTCAGACCTGTTGGTCCATTGTGCGCACCTCATACCGAATTGTCTTGATTCGGTTTACCCACCTAAGTGTTATCACCAAAGTGTTAATACATTACCAACCATAAAGTCACCTCTAAAGATGACCAAAGAATCCTGTCTTTCTGGCGAAATTAAGTATCTCTCTGGGTTTTAGGTTTTTAATATCTTCTTTTTCAGGAAAAGGTTTATTCAAGTAGTTTGATCTTAGTGTAGACAAGGCTTCACATTCGCACATGATGTGAAATGAGTCTACCTCTTGAGAATAGAAGTTATTGTCTATATGGGTTTCTCTCCGAAGAAATTCATCAACAACCGTGATCAGCGTTAGCACTGGGTACTATTTACGAGGCATAAGAATAGGGGTTAGTGTCATTCGGAGGGGGCGTGGAGGCACCCCATCACTAAACAAAAATTCATAATTTTAGTCGACAATTTTGCGATTTATAGGGTTGCTCAAATAAAAAAGGTTATAGAATTAAAAAAAATTATTCAATCAACAAAAATAATTTTTTTTTCTCAGGATGCTTTGGGCCGGCTTTGGTGGGAGTCAATCATTACAATAAAGATATTTTAAAGTTTATATTTTAGTAACAGCATGACAATTACATTATATTATGAAATTAATTGTTTAGCATAAATTTGATGAATAAATTTTTAATTTTAAGTTAAAACATATTTAATGTGATAATTGTTCGTGCAAAAACTTACTTCTCTTTATTTTACACTATTATCAAATTGAAAATTATTTATTTACTTTTTATATTTAAACATTATTGATTCTATAAAAAAGGTGATATTCGTGTAAATCAAAATCTTGGAAACGCTCTTATTCACAATATTATGTTAAGATTTCACAACTTCGTAGTGACCCAACTTCAGAACTTAAATAAAAAATGGGTAGATGAAACTTTATATCAAGAAACTCGGCGGATGGTTGGAGCTATTACTCAACATATTACTTATCATCATTTCTTACCTATTATATTAGGTAGGTACATATTGACAAATATAGTAATATTGGTGATCATTAAACTGTTCAATAGAAACCAAAATAAAAATAAAAAACAAATAGTTTTGTTTTGATTTTAGCGTCACCGATTTTGATTACTATTAGAAAATTTTCCTTAGTTATAAAACCATTTGTTGATCTGCTATATTTTTCAGGAGAAACTTATATGAAATATTATGGTTTACTGACTCCAACAACAACATACAACGATCTTGTAAATCCGTCTACATCGCAAGAATTTTCTACTAGTTCTTATCGTATACTTCACAATCTTATACCAGCTAAACTTCAGTTTGTTTAATACTGTTACGTCGCTATTTAGGGGTTTAACCTAAATGCCCGTCGACAGTATTCTAAGGGACCAACGGGGGATAGCTGGCTAGGCTATATCTACCTTAGGTACTGAAGTTTCCTATTTAATTTATATTCCCTTAGAGGAACTACCAAGGGTCGTACTACAATATATATATATATATAACACTTTAGGTTAACAACGATATAAATAAATATTTATTAAGCAATTGAAATATTAAATGGATAATACAACCTGCTGGACACCTAGAGATGTTTTAATCCAACAAGGAGCTGACGGCGACACACACACACACTATAATATACGGGTAGCGAAGTTAAGTTAATTA